TATACAAATTATTAATTTTGTAATTTATATACAATAAAAATAATATAATGGTATATTGGTATAGTATATTTGTATTCTAATTTTTAAATAAACTAAAATTACGCTAAATGTATAATAATATATGAGAGGATAATAAATTTAATCCAATTACTTTTATAAATATATAAATATAAAATCTATAAAATATTAAAAATGATATTATATTTTTAAAAACAAATATTAGAAAAAGGTTTAAAAACTAGTATTATCTTAAATTTATTAAAAGTATAATTAAATCTCTATTTTCTTAATTTTTTTTAAACTTCTCAATTCTACATTTTTGTAAGTTCTATCATTATATTATATCATCCTCATCTCCTCCCATGTTCTACTTTATCTTTACAATAGTCAATATTCTTAACTAATTTATAGTTTTAATTATAATTTTTTAGTATATATTTCAGAAATTAATCAATTCTAATCTATTATTTGAAAAACTAATCAATTCTAATCAATAATTTAGAAAACTAATCGATTATAATTAATTATTTGAAAAAATTATCAAATATGATCGATCATTTCAAAAATATAATCGATCAGAATCAATTATCGCTCGAGCGAGACTATACTCGCTCAAGCGAAATACAACCCGAGAGTATCAATTTTGTGCAGGGGCGTTTCGCTCGAGCGGAAAGTTGTCGCTCAAGCTGAAATACAGTTTAGATAGCGGTTACACAGAACCGCTCTTAAAAGCTCACTTAGATAGCGGTTAACCGTTGAACCGCTATTATATGGTTTCAATTATGATCGGTCGGAATGCAATTATGACCGATCATAACTATTTTAATCGATTAAATCTAGTTTCAATCGATTAAAACAATTTCTGCACAACGCTTTAATCGATTAAAACTTATTTTTATCAGTTAAAATAACTTGAAAACTTATATTAACTATTTTTTTTATATTATGTTTTTAAATTTTCTATTAGAGAAAACCTTTTAGAATTCAAAATGTTAAATACTTTTAAATATTAAAATTAACTTTATCAAAAATTAGGAAAAAAAATTAATCAAAAACAGTTCAAAATTGTATTATAATATTGTCAATTTTGAGTTTAATTATATTGTTCATTCTCAAAGTAGAAAAATATATTGTAATTATTTTAATTTAATAAAATATAATTTAAAATTTTAATACTAAAATTAAAAGATTAAATAATAATAAATTTAATTCTTTAAATTCAAGTAGTTGGAAACTAAAATTATAGTTTCTCTGTTTTAAATAATTAAAAAAAATATTAAAAAAAAATCAAAACTAGTATTATCTTAAATTTATTAAAAGTGTAATTAAATATCTATTTTCTTAATTTTATTTGTTTCAAACTTCTCAATTCTACATTTTTGTAAGTTCTATCATTATATTATCATCCTCATCTCCTCCTATGTTCTACTTTATCTTTACAATAGTCAATATTCTTAACTAATTTATAGTTTTAATTATAATTTTTTAGTATATATTTCAGAAATTAATCAATTCTAATCTATTATTTGCAAAACTAATCAATTCTAATCAATAATTTAGAAAACTAATCGATTATAATTAATTATTTGAAAAAATTATCAAATATGATCGATCATTTCAAAAATATAATCGATCAGAATCAATTATCGCTCGAGCGAGACTAGACTTGCTCAAGCGAAATACAACCCGAGAGTACCAATTTTGTGCGGGGCGTTTCGCTCGAGCGAGAAAGTTGTCGCTCAAGCGAAATACAAGTTAGATAGCGGTTACACAGAACCGCTCTTAAAATCGACTTAGATAGCGGTTAATCGTTGAACCGCTATTATATGGTTTCCATTATGATCGGTCGAATGCAATTATGACCGATCATAACTATTTTAATCGATTAAAATTTAGTTTCAATCGATTAAAACAATTTCTACATGACGCTTTTAATCGATTAAAACTTATTTTTATCGATTAAAATAACTTGAAAAGTTATATTAACTATTTTTTTTATATTATGTTTTTAAATTTTCTATTAGAGAAAACCTTTCAGAATTCAAAATGTTAAATACTTTTAAATATTAAAATTAACTTTATCAAAAATTAGGAAAAAAATTAATCCAAAATAGTTCAAAAATATATTATAACATTGTCAATTTTGAGTTTAATTATATTGTTCATTCTTAAAGTAGAAAAATATATTGTAATTATTTTAATTTAATAAAATATAATTTAAAATTTTAATACTAAAATTAAAAGATTAAATAATAATAAATTTAATTCTTTAAATTCAGTAGTTAGAAACTAAAATTATAGTTTCTCTGTTTTAAATAATTAAAAAAAATATTAAAAAAAATCAAAACTAGTATTATCTTAAATTTATTAAAAGTGTAATTAAATATCTATTTTCTTAATTTTATTTGTTTCAAACTTCTCAATTCTACATTTTTGTAAGTTCTATCATTATATTATCATCATCATCTCCTCCCATGTTCTACTTTATCTTTACAATAGTCAATATTCTTAACTAATTTATAGTTTTAATTATAATTTTTTAGTATATATTTTGAAATTAATCAATTCTAATCTATTATTTGAAAAACTAATCAATTCTAATCAATAATTTAGAAAACTAATCGATTATAATTAATTATTTGAAAAAATTATCAAATATGATCGATCATTTCAAAAATATAATCGATCAGAATCAATTATCGCTCGAGCGAGACTAGACTCGCTCAAGCGAAATACAACCCGAGAGTACCAATTTTGTGCAGAGGGCGTTTCGCTCGAGCGAGAATGTTGTCGCTCAAGCGAAATACAGTTTAGATAGCGGTTACACAGAACCGCTCTTAAAAGCTCACTTAGATAGCGGTTAACCGTTGAACCGGTATTATATTGTTTCCATTATGATCGGTCGAATGCAATTATGACCGATCATAACTATTTTAATCGATTAAATCTCGTTTCAATCGATTAAAACAGCTTCTGCACAAGCGTTTTAATCGATTAAAACTTATTTTTATCAGTTAAAATAACTTGAAAAGTTTTAGGAGAAAGTTTTGCAAGTATTTCAATCGATTGAATCGCGAACAATCGATTAAATCAACTTAGAAGATTTTTTGTAAAGTGTTTTAATTGATATAAACGTTGTCGTATCAGCTTAAAACAAATCGTTAAAGAATCAAGAACGTATTAATGGATTAAAAGAAGTTTTAACAGATTAAAACTGCACTTTTAACAGATTAAAAGAATCTTTTAACAGATTAATTAAACCAGCTAGTTTTGAAAATCTTCTATAAAAACAAGTTTGGCTTGAACTTTTTTAACATACATTGAATATATCATCTTTAAAAAATAAATAAATTTATATATATATATATATATATATATATATTTTTGCATTTTAATTTTCAAATATTAATTTTTTTATGAAATTAATTTTAATTAAAAAAATTAAAGTGATATATATATATATATATATATATATATATCCAACTATTAAATTATTCAAGATATTAATATAAATTTAAAATATCAATTCAGTAATTAAAATAATTTTAATTTTTTATAAATACATTGAAATACATTTTTATTAACATACAAGTAATATATATATATATATATATATATATATATATATATATAAAGAGACTAAATTAATAATTAATTTAATTATTGATTTAGTGATCGATTCTAAGTGACCGAATCAGATGACCGATTCGAGTGACCGAGATCAATGACCGATTCGATGACCGAATCAGTGACCGAATCGATGTGACCGATTCGATGACCGAATCGATGACCGAATTAGTGACCGGATTCAAGTGACCGAATCGATGACCGATTCGGTGACTAATTTAATAATCAATTTTAATTTTTTTATTCACATGCTAAATTAAAAAATAAAATCAAATAATTATATTACTAAATTATTTAATAAGTTAGTAAACAATTTTTTTTTAAATATTTATAATTTTATTAAAAATGTTATCAATTATTTTAAATCATTAAGTAAATTTATATTTAAAATATTTTAAATAAAATATTTATATAAATGAAAAATAGTTATCAGTTTAAAAATTATTTTTTTAGTGACTCGAAATTTTAGTCACTAAATCAGTTACTAAATATAAAAAAAATCAGTCACTAATTTCAGTCACTATTAACCATTTTTGTAGTAAATAATTACATAAATTAAATATAGATTAATTAAAAAAATAAATTAAATAATAAAGTGACTGAAATAGTAACCGATTTTTTGTGACCGAAAATTCGGTTACTATTTCTAGTTACTAGACTAAAAAATAATAATTTGGTTACTTGATTCGGTCATCGATAGTAACTAAATTTTTCGATCACTGATTTCGATTACTATTTGACATTTTTCTAGTAGTGAAATTATTAACTCTTTTAATATTGTTAAGAGATCATAAATACTCTACAAGACTCACCTCCCCGATTGTACTTTTAGCTTAATTAAATTTACTCTTACATGAATATTTATAATAATAAAAAAAGTGAATGGATCAGAACTAGAACCAATAACCTTTCACACTCCACGTTACCAATGACGTCGTCGAGAAACATGCATTAAACTTATTCTTCATTGTATCATTAAACATGGATTTGACGTGATAGAGCAAAGCGAGGTATATTAATTGTGCATGAGCCCATTTACACTACTGGAATTGTTCGGCTAATAGGCAACATAGCACAAGTAGTTCTGTGCTTCATTCAGAGAGAGAGAGAGATGGTATGATCGTTAATGAAACACCAAAGAGGGGAAGAAAAAGAAGAGAAGGTTAGCACCCTAATTAAGACATTTTCTCATTACATAGACCACCTGAGCAATCTATAGTCATGTTTGTCTCATGTTGAGTTCCCAACATAAAATCTGAAGTCTGCTGAATCTATATTCAAAGTTCAAGAAAAAAAGGAAGAGAAAACAACTGAAGTTATTTTTGTGCACATATGGTAATCACATTCAAAGTCTAGTACAACCAATTAACTTGTTAAAGCCAAATATAATAGCCATAGTCATCCAACCTCCAATCACCACTATCACTAGTCCTTCTCACTGGTGTTTTACTTTTACCCAGTACTGCTCCTATCCCTCCAAATACCAACAATGCCAAGATAGCCACAGAAATAACTAGCAGCCTGATCTTATAGTCCCTTATAAAAACAGCTGCTAGTAGTGGCACCATAACACCAATAGAAAATCCAAGTGCTGATGCTAAGGAAGCTTGAAACGGGTTAAGAAGTCTATCATCCTCATCCACTTCCTTGTGATTGATATGGTGGACTTTCATTTGAGCCACCTCTGTGTCTACCGATACAAACGCTTTAATTTGCATACTCCAAGCCCCAGCAACTAGTCCTGAGAAACCAGCTAGAAGCATGGCTATGATGTCTTCATTCAAAGCTTCAACGGCCATCATCAGTAAGGTGGTTAAGGCCAACCCAGTTTTGACTCCAAACACAGCTGCTCCAAGCCACTGTTCCCTTTGAGAGTTCTCAATATTGTTTTCTTCCATTTCTTGGTTAGGTTTTGCTTCTATATCATTAGAGTGTATGAGAATCTCAATATGGTTAATCGGCATTTCATTGCTACTAGTGCCGAGAGAAGCCATAATGCACAAGAATTGTAAGGTACAAGGATAAAGGGAAAATGAAAAAAAAAAAGATTGCTTGTGGAGGGCACACTCTCCTCATGGAAATTATTATATAGACATATAGAAAATAGAAATAAAATTACAGTTAGGTAAGCTTGATGGTAATGGACCTCAGTGGTGATGGTCTGGAGAGCACTATGAAGGGTGGCCACCTGTTTTAATAATTCCTGAAGCTTTCAACCATTTAAAAATGAATTAACCTTTTTCATGGGCCTGCATGTTTGGATGTTTAATATGATTCACTTTATTTTGGTCAGTATATCTGAAGGTATAGTATATGTTCGTACCATCAGGGAGCATCTATTTAGCTCTTTCTCAGATTCTCATAATGGAAGTTGGTCCTGCATTCAAGTTTCTTACTGTGCTTGAACTTAATATGCAATAATTTACTGTTACCCTAAGCAGCATGCAGACTCAAACTTCTGAATGATGATATCGGAGAATAGAGATAAATAGGAAAAGGTAGATGAAGTGGCGGGGTTATCTAAAACGAGGGAATGTTCCATTGCTCATATAATACAAGCTACTAGCTTGAAGCTAGGGTAGTGGTAGCCCCTCTAATGATTAAAAACAATTAACAAAAAAGCAGCTATTATGATTGAACAATTCAGAAGTGTGTGTATTCCACAAGAAAGCCACATGCCATTCAATAAGACGAAAAAAATATTTAAAACATGGGTTATCTCATTCCAGTTCCTTCAAATTTAGAACTGGTGCTATGTCATATACAGAAGAAATGGTTCTTGACTGGTTTGAATTCACATATTTTTAAATATTGTTGTATTTTGCTCAAACGACTTAAGGAATCAACAACAAATTCTCTTCTAAAGGTGCAATATCCTTTGTAACAATTGAAGAGAAAAAGAGAAAAAGAAATGATCTCACCTAACATTTAAACAAAACAAATGCAGGCAGGGAGATATATTCCAGAAATTAGTAGTGTGCACTCAACTAAAGCAGATGATTCCACGTTCAAATGGATATATTCAAAATTGTAAAGAAAAAAAAAAAATAGTGATAGCACACTAAAAGAAAGCAATAGCACTAGAGTCACTTTCAGGGGAAATGTTTTTTAAATTGCAGAAGATAAATTTAAGCGCTGAGTTTTGGCTGTTTTTGCTTCAAGAATGTGTTTACATGTCGTGTGGATCACACACTCCTCCCATTTATTAATTACACACTTTACTTTAATTGCCACTATCCCGTGGAGTGCACACTCCCACAAATATAACATATATACTCTCTTTCTCGCAAGTCTCATTCCAAATCCGAGTCCTGGTCCATGTTATGGTGGGATCTTTTTCCCACATCTATTGCTTCAACTGCTGAAGTTATATATTGATATATCTTCGAATAAAAACAATTCAAAATAGGTTTCAGATTCCTTTTACATTTAAAATTCACTTTTAAGATAAGAGTTATGCCTTATTTATATATTTATAATTTGATTATATTTGAAAGCTTCACTCTTTTAGGATATTGAACATATATAACACGAGACACAGTTACGAATGATTTGATAATGGTTAAGAGTAGAATAATTTTTAAGTCAAATAAATTTTGTTATCCTCTGAAAATACAAATTTGAACTTAATTCAATTTCAATTACTTGTTACTTTGAATATATTCTAATCTACATGAGATCCCAATATGTTCACTCTTTTTGTGACTGTTGTTCACGTGAAATTTATATGAAAAATCGTAATTTTCACAATTTAAATTCTGAGTATTTTTACGTCTTGAAATTATTTTGCATTATGTTCCGAAATAATTGTGACTTCAAGAATTTTAATTTAGTTTGTCATTCAGAATTAAATATTCTCTTATTTTTTAATATTTAATTCTTTACTGTTTCTACGTTTAATATATTTTCTAAATAAAAGAAAATCTTCAAATGGTGTAATATTCGTGATATGATAAATAATGTCCTTAATATAATAGGATAAAACTCAGTATAAACATAACTTTTATTTAATATTTGTCACACGATGATAAAAATCGAATAACAAAACATAAATTAAAGTGTTAGTGGTCATGATCATCGTGAAACTATAAGTCCGACGAGAATAGTAAGGATAAAATCTATAATTATTTATATATATATATATATATATATATATATATATATATATATATATAAATTACAATCTCTTATTGGTATTATTGAAAAATAAAAGTATTGAAAAATATAATTCGTAATCAAGATTTTTTTTTATATATTTAAAAATTAAAATAAAATACATATTTTAAAAGAAAATAATTATATAAAAAATATTAAAATAATAATAAAATGATTTATGTATATATATATATATATATATATATATATATATATATATATATATATATATATATATATACTAATTATAGATAAGAGAATTATGAAATTATAGTGTGTTGGTGTACAACAATATAACATTCCATCCCCCAAATCTCTAGGTTCTTAATGGATGAAAATAAAAATTTAATGATATTTTAATAGTATTACAAAATTTTAATTATATATCTAATATAAACATAAGAAATAAGAAGACTTAATTTTAATTATTTATAAATACAGTATAGAGTTTTAATAATCTTTATATCCGAGATTATATAACCAAAATTAATTAACACGTAATTGGTCTAAATGCTACTAATTTGGATTTCTGTAAATTTGATGCTTGAATTGTGAATACAAATAGGTGATTGAAAGGAAAAAAATACAGTGAAGTTAAGTTGATCAATCAAAATTTTTCACCAATACTTAATATAAAACAATATCAAAACTAATCACTTCATCCTTTCCCTATCTTAAACGAATCTCTGCCTAACTTCAATTAATGATTTCAGGCAGTGAACGTAACAGTCAAAATATCTGTTTTATTCGTATAGACAAAATCTATGTAAGATGAAAATTATCATATAAGATGATGAAAATTTCGTGAAGGCGAGGTGAGAAGATCCCTTTTAAAATAAGGGAGTATGATGAACCAAGTAAGATGAATGATGTATAAACATTACATTCAGGTGGAATTAATATCTGATAACTGGATCCACGTTTTGGTGGAGAATTTTAAACGCGAACCATATATATTTTTTAAGAAGTCACTAACTTGCTGTTAGTGCTGTCCTGATCACTATCACAACTCCTTTACCAAAATTTAGGTCCGTTGACACCTCAAACTTGACGATCCCTCACTATAAATATTCTTCATTAGGCGTGTGTTCTTCACAAGCTCTTAATATCTCATAATTACATTAACTTCCTCCTTTTGTATTTCAGTATTTCCCAACTTCATTTTATCTTTTTCGTCCTTCATGGCAAACCTTGGAGCTAGAACTAATGGAATTTCATCAAACCAAGTTGAGATCCCTATCCATGCAAATGGTGTGGAGCCAAAACCCAGTGAAGAGAGCCACATTGACTACTCAAAAAGGGCTCAGTGGCTTCGAGCAGCAGTGTTGGGAGCCAATGATGGGTTAGTCTCTGTTGCCTCACTTATGATGGGTGTTGGAGCTGTTAAGAAAGACATCAGTGCCATGCTTATTGCTGGTTTTGCTGGATTAGTTGCAGGGGCTTGTAGCATGGCAATTGGAGAGTTTGTCTCAGTATACACTCAGTATGACATAGAGATGACCCAGCTTAAAAGGGAGAGGGAAACTAATAACAATGGAGAAGTGGATGGAGAATCTGAAAGGGAGAAGTTGCCAAACCCATTTCAGGCTGCAATAGCATCAGCACTGTCATTTGCTGTTGGTGCTTTGGTGCCAATGCTAGCAGCTGTGCTTATAAGGAGCCACAAGATTAGGATGGGAGTTGTTGCTGCTGCGGTTAGCTTGGCGTTGTTTGTGTTTGGAGGGGTAGGAGCAGTTCTGGGAAAAACTCCAGTGACTAGGTCTTGTCTTAGGGTTCTGATTGGAGGTTGGATGGCTATGGCCATAACATTTGGCCTCACCAAATTGATTGGCTCTGCTGAACTTTGAATGTCACTGATATTATTAGTAAACATTTATATTGTTGTGTAATGAGTACTCATGCTAGTTAGTATTATACTCTTTGATAGATTGTGGCTGTTTTTCTTGAAATGAACACACTTTCTAGCTGTCCATTCGTACAGATTTTAGGGTTCATCACGTTTTCCTTTTTATATTTGTGCTTTCGTTACGAGAACGAACCTAAAACAGTGGATAAGACTGAATGGACAAAATTAACTTATAGTGACATGATATTTTATGATAAATATAATTAAAGAAAAATAAGGTCATAATTAATAAAAAAGAGACATTCTTAATACATATATTTAAAAACATTTTTTTTCAACAAAATGACATATATTTATAAATAAATTGTAATGTATTATTTTAATTAAAATTTTCAATTTGGTTAGCACTACAAGAAATTTTGATATTACCGACGGTCAAAATCCGTCAGTAATATTTTTATTATTTATTAAATATTTTACTTACATAGATTATTTATTTTATAAAATATCCCTTCCCTTTATATTGTTATTATTTACTATTAATTATTTTTTCCTACTATATTTTTATAGGCTTCAATTATTTCGAACCCGATACCTTAGAGTTAGATGTTGATACTCCAACCACTAAGCTACTAGTAATTTTTCGATAATAATTTACAAATAAATTATATTTATATACAAATATATTTATATATTTATATATATTTATATATTTATGTATTTATATATTTATATATTTGTATATATTTATATATTTATATATTTATATATTTATATATTTATATATTTATATATATTTATATATTTATATATATTTATATATTTATATATATTTATATATTTATATATTTATATATTTATATATTTATATATTTATATATTTATATATTTATATTTTTATATATTTATATTTTTATATTTTTATATTTATATATTTATATATTTATATATTTTTATATTTATATATTTATATATTTATATTTTTATATATTT